GTAACAATTCTGTATACAGATGTGTTGGTAGCATAGACATATAAAGAGGATGACGTGACAGCTCCACAAAAGTGAAGCCAATCGCCCCCTAGTGGCCGGCTGTAGTACAGGTCATAAACCCAGCCTCCTCTATTTTTGCAGATGGGACATGGGTCGAACAAAGAACCCCCCGCCCCATCAATATATGGAAAATTATTAACAAGTTGATGTCACATAACTAGCCACTCCTACATCCATCAAGCCATAAATCCCATAGATCTAGGACTCTGTGTCAATATTGCCTTCTGTTGTAAGATCCTCACTAATTTGAGTTCAGCCGTACACACAGACACATTAACACACCAATTCCCGCACTACGTTTGTGTGTGTGTTCCACGCAGCAACCGCAGAGGCATTTATCAGCTCACTCAGGCGAAACACACACACATTTATTGACACACACAGAAAGCTTTTTCGCATTTTCTCTGTCTATCAACCTCCAGTACTCCCCCAATCCCAAGGCCTTGCATCATTTAAAGCTAAATTCAACCACTAAAATATGATTAGAGGTGCAACAATACTGGTGCATCTCAACAGACTTCTCATACACCTAGAAGCTAGAGATGATAATCTCCCATATTTGCAATAAAATGTTTAGATTCTGATCATTTCTTTGGGGATTACCCAGATGTCTATAGTACATTTTCTACTCTAAATTTCCATCTATTACAGATCTAACATACTTTCATGTGTCAAAAAGCCACGAACATCATCAGACTCAAGCGACTTTGTGCGCTCCTTCATAGCAACTACAAAGCCAGAGTGCATTTGTTTCCACTGGTGATATGAAAGTTTTAATCAACTTTTTCCCCACTTTACTTTAACACAAAAGTTTGATACCCACATGTGAGAACATGACTGCCACCTATACTGATAAAAGCAAATAACTTAAATTAGGAAGTAAAATAAACAAAATTAGTTAAAAATTAATAAATTATAGGCTGTCTCGTAAAACTGTCTTGTAAAAGTGTGAGAGGGGATTACCTAAATACAATAACTTATAACTAATACAAAAACAGGAGATCTACATAAATAAGCAGAATATTCAGTATACGTCATGCTCTCAGTCTCAAACAGCGCTTAACCGTGTCATGTGACATGCTTCAGTAAGAACAAATATCACTGGGACCACTAAAGAAAACTGCAGATGAGCATTTAATATCCAGGAATATTGACTACACTGCAGGAGGACCCTGAACTATAAATGAAAACAAGAGCTGATTTATATTTTGTTGAATTTTAAACAACTTGCTTTGTTAATTGTGTAAATGAACACATTAGCTTTTATGTTGCATTTGATTCACTGTTGAAAAGGGCACCTCTGTTTAAAATAAAATATGCATCAACCTGATCACTGTCATTTTCTAAAATCATCTAGAATTATTAGAACTTTTAAAATATGTCTCGTTTGCTTGGTACATGCACTTGGTACACATACATGTGTGTGCACGTGATCAGGATGGTACCCCGTCTGCCTCATTGATGACTGATTGCAAAAAAAAAAACCTGGATACAGCATGTGAATTTCCTTTGATATCTAACATTTAACTACTAGAGCAATGCCTTCATAGTGTATTGAATCTTAGAAAACAGAGTATTTGTGTTACAATTACTGCAATACACTGCTTGTATTTACTGAAACTTGCCTTCTGTCCTACACGTAGCATGTCAATCGTCTATCTTATATCTCCACACCACTCACTATAAACTCTTTTTACCTCAGAGTACTTGGTGACAATGTGACTGCATCCCAAAAGAAAACTAAATGGAGATCTGTAAGAAGGCTGCAGTGTAGCTTGGTGTTGATCAGGTTTCTTTCAGTGGTCTTACTTTCAAACAAAACATATAAAAACAAGCTTTTCCTGTTTTGTTATTTCTTGCTGAACGGGCCTCCTGAGTCTGATTCATTTTTTTGCCTCCTTGTCATCGAGCCAAATCACTCACAAGTAGTCAACTTTTTGTCTCATGAGCTCGATTAAAAGAGAATTCCCAACATGGTAGCAGCTTACCTCTGTTATTGGCCAGCTAGTCAAATACACTAAGATAGCCCAGAAAACTAAAAACTCCTGTACTTTGTAAGGCATGTGTTCGAGGTAGATAAAATATTAGAAACACCTTTCAGTAATATATTCTATGTAGTTGTTATTGTGTTTACGGCTGAATGAGCCACTAAGAAAAACCTTGGAAAACTGTTATATACTGAACAAAATGGGCCTTAAGATGAATGCCAATTCAATGCAACTGTCTCTGCAGAGTTTCCTTTTATTCTCACCACCTTCCTGGAATTTGGTTGTTCAAATGGAGCTGTGGTGTTTGTAACCCAGCAGAGAGCTATTCTACTGAAGGACGCACTGCACATTTGTTCTGAAATGAAACTTTGTTATGTACTGTCTTCTTGTAAACCAATAAGGGGAAAACAGAAAGAGCAGAGAGTGTGTGTGTGTGTGTGTGTGTGTGTGTGTGTGTGTGTGTGTGTGTGTGTGTGTGTGTGCCCTCACATTGCCAGAAGCTAAGTGCTCTTCCAGTCAGTAAGTCAAACCCGACCAGGCTAGCATACATCCGACTGTCCAAGACAAATGAACGATACAGATAAAAAAAGACAAGTAAATGTAAAAGAATGAACAGAGATGGGGTTAGAAAAAAAGAGAGAAATTGAGAGTGAGACATGGTGATGGAGAGAGATGAATGATCAGCTGTAGACAGATGATTAAGCAGGGTAGAAAAGAGGAATGAAGAGAAAGAGAAACAGATGAAGCTCAGGGAAATGCAGCAACTTCTCTGAACCAGAAGAAGACCGAGGGTAAGCTGAGGATGAGACAGGTATAAAGGAAAGCAGATTCAAGTGGATGGAAAAGGTAAAAATGGGACGCAGATCCTTGTTGAATCGTTGCTGCGCCGCTGACAGTTCGGTTGAAGATTCAGGGTGTGTTACGCTAGCCTCATTGAGGCTTAGGAATTTCAAACTTCCGTTTTTGAGACATAATTTGCAGGGAATATCTGGCGAACATCATCTGTAGGTAATTAACATTACTTACATACCTTGGCCGAAAAAAACTGATGTGAAAGTGTCAGTCAAACATTGTTGAGGACCAAACAACCGCACCGAGACCGCTTGAAAAGGTGGGTTTCAGACTATGTTCTGGAGGCTGATCAGAAACCAAACCTAAAACCCAACATTAGGGGAAACTGGGGACTGTTGCAACACTTTCTGCATTTCTTTCAGTTACTCATAGACTATTTGGATAAGACCAACCAAATTGTTATATTAAACTTACATCGGTCTGCTAATTACCCTTACAATTTAAAGAAGATTACATATAACATATCGTTTACAATATGTATTTGAATTGAAGAAGTCTGATGTTGCGACTGACCCCCAACCCTGGGAACAGTTAGGGTGATCTGGGACAGTTGCAGATGGTTAAAAATACATTCAATTTAACTAACTTTGCCTTTTGTCTCCATAAGAAAAATGTTAAGTTAAATTTCCTTGGGGGAGTATCCCCAAACCCCACACCAAATACATGCACTAAGGAAGCTTAAGAAGGCCAAATTCCTGTGCCAAGTTCTTGTCAGCTTTTACAGAGGAGCAAAAGAAAGCAGGAGCATCCTGACTGGAAACAGCACAAACTGGCATTGGATGTGCACTGCCCAGGACTGGAGGGCTCTGCAGCAGGTGATTGAAACTGCTCAGAAGATCTTTAGTACCCATCTCCCGAGCATCAGTGATACTGGTGAGGTGAGGTGCCTACGCAGAGCCCAAAGAATACTAAAGGACAGTACCCACCCAGCCACAGCCTGTTCACCCTGCTGCCTTCTGGGAAGAGATATAGAAGTTTCTGCTGTCACACCACCAGACAGCAGAGCAGCTTTTTTCCCCCCAAGCTATCAGACTCCTAAAATTATAATTCATCCTCAGCCCTGCTCCACTGAATACAGTTTATTTCTGTTTTATAATTGCTTCTGTATTACTGTATATTGTCTGCTATGCAGGAGAAGGGAGAGACAAACTCAATTTCACTTTACAAGCTGTTAAAATAAATCTACCTTTTAAGTCTTCTACAAACTTAGGGAAAACACTGAAATTATAATTATTCCAAAGTGCATGAATACAGCTCATACACAATTTGACATGCATCACTGATGCTGAAAGAAATTTGAAGGGAAAAACTGATTGTTATAAATGACTATAAAAGTAACTTTTTGTAAAGAGTGTATTTTGTTCCTTTTATATTCAAATCATAACATCCATGGCAGAAGTAATTACAAAAAATTAATGAAAACACTTAATGCACAAAAATGAGCATCTCTCCTACAGGTTTTCCAAGGAAATTTGGCCCCACCCTAGTTGACGGCGAGTGAGAGGCGTCTCACAACTGCCTTACTAGTGCCTCTAGCTGTACATTACTGTACAAGACGCCTCATTTTTGTCCTGTCTCTACTTGTTAGTCATTATTTACAACATTCTGCCGATTTGCAGTGTAATAATACTAATAATATGCTAATAATCAGTTATTTCTTGGTGAGCTCTTTGTGACACCAAAGAACACAAGTATGCACATCAGATGCATTACACTGCTGGATAAACTTCTGTCAGTCACAGGAACATGATTTACCCACATGGGTCCTGACAATGCAGGATGACAATCGTCAAAACTGTCCAATCAATGAGTAACTGCACTTATCAATCAGTCGGTATAACTTCATGTTTACTCCTCTTGGTTCGTTGGTCAACGGTCATTGTGAACAAGACCAGAACTAAAATTAAACAATGTATAATTTTTTTCGCAGTGGTCCGAACCAAATGAACCGAACTACAGGAATGAAAGCACCCTGATGAGAAAAACCCACATTATATTTGAAACAATATTAATTGTAACTGTGTCTTTATGCATTTCACAAAAAACACTCACTGATGGAGTCTTTCTCTAGCAAAACAGTCTGTAAGTGACAGCAAAGCTAGCAGCTAGCTGGATGCATGGCCTATTAGGTCATTCATACCTGTATGTCAGTGTCTTTGACCGGCTCCAAGGGCTCAAAAGTGGTGGCAGCACTTAGACTTTCCAACCTCTGAGAAATGTGGAAGATGTCTAAACCTCTGGAACCAAGAAGGATTGACCTGAGAGTAAGACAGAGCGGTGGTAAGAATGCATCCATGTAATGGCAGGACTAAAGTGAGAGCAAGACTGACAATGAACTTGTTTGCTTCACCACCACTAGAGGGCACAAGAGGCTTTGCTACTATTCCACTGGTTTAATATTCATGTCAAGACAACTCAAACCAATTACACAGAGTTCATGTTAAGGCATTTGAGGAAAATTAAACCAAGTATAAAATAAATGGTATTTAGAAAAGACTGAATCTGTTAAACAAGACAACAATGAAACCTCATCTTACATATTTCTTAAAACAAGAAGTCTGTATAATAGTGCGCAGATGGGTCACAGGGGGATCAGTGAGTATTACTCAGTGTTGATACGTTTTACATTTCATCAACAATTTAGGGCTGAACAATTAATCGACCACAGACTTAAGAAAACATCTTTGTTTAGTACTAAAGACCCTTGCAGAAATCACACCATAATCATTTAAATATTTTTTTCATTGGAAATTAGAATAATTATGTAAAAAGGATCACTGCCTCCAACATTGCAAATTGAAATATCAGTCAAAATAATAATTGCAATTAGATATTTTTTCAAAATCATTTAGCCCTATAACAATTTGGCAGTTAACTGTACTAAATAATATATTATCAATGGCCACTTTAAGATTCTATATATTACATGTTAAATGTCAAAATCAAAAAGGTGTGAGCTTCAGACATGCTGGACAGAACTATAAAAAGGGATATAGTTGGATTTCCACAGTTAGGAGATGGCTATTCAATCTGGAAAGCATTATATTAAATGTGATCCCCTGACAAAAATCGAATTTTAAACACATGAACATCAAACAAAGAAACAAGAGCACATCAAAGCGGCAGGCAAGGAATAAGTAAAATGACAGACAACTGTTTATGGATTTGTATTACAGTCAGTTTAGGTTTTGTGAGCACAATACAGGAACATATGGGACTGTGCAAGATGACCATGTGTGCATAGGACATACGCTTTTACATCTGCAGCATCTTGCGAGGTGCGGGTCAGGGTGCGGGATCGAAGTCTCTCCCCCGCCTGCTGGATCTCCTGGAGGTTCCTCTCAAACATGCGGCAGCTCTGACACTGCTTCTGTCTCGGCAGCTAGCTGCTCTGCCTGCTGCAGCAGCTCCCCGAAACCTTCTGCATCCATACCTCTAGACGCAGAGAGGAATAGTGATTAAATGAATGAACGCAATGATATTTAAGCTTCACCATCAATACTGGGTGGACAGTGTTTTATGGATCCTACCCCAAACTTCACCACAAGTATTTGTATCATTGGCTTGGGAAAGGGCAAAACTGTTGATCCTACTAGGTATGACAAGTGCATTTTTTTTAAAAAGCACAATAAATAAACACAGCCAAAAAAATTATGTTAGGCTTCGAAAATATACTGTGTACCAAGTATCTGCTGATGTTTGTGGGTTGTAGACATTAAGCATTCAGGAAAGACTGCAGGAAGGATATGTAACTATGTAAACAGCCTCATATTCAAACTAAAAGTTAGCACTCGAACCAAGGTCAAAGCTGCAGTTGACTTCTAAAACGCTGGATGTATTGTATACTGTGAGACCAGAGATGTAGAACATGTACATGGACACATCAGAAACAAAACCCTTCACTTAGGATAACATGAAATATTGATTAACCCATGTTCATATCTAAATCTAAAGAGTGAACAGTGAAGATACTATAGCCTGGAGTTTATAGGACATACAGGTACCATAACATATTTTGACAGCTGACGTAAACAGGATGACACCTTAAGCGCGCGCATGGAGTGCCGTGGTTGTCAGATTAGCTTAGCGTCAGCACAATGCTAACACCCTGGCTAGCTAGTTTAGAAACTTGTGACAACAGCGAGACACAGTTTCAACAGTCGAGAAGGGCAAATTACATACCAGAGTTACAACTACCTCGATTTTAAACACGTTTCCTCTCAGACCTAGCTTTGTTAGTACGCATTAGTTAACTTTATGTCCAAATGTATGGCGCTCAGCGGTTAGCCAGCAGGCTACATGGCTAACGGTTAGCCTTCTCTCGCATGCTCGCAGTTGCATGAACCTAAACATCTTTGATTGGACACTGTTGCAGGCAGACATGCCTCATACCTGTTGTGTAGGGCAGACGTAAGTATGGTCCTGTCTGTATTCCTCTGGTGAATGCGTTTACACTTATTACCTCTTGTTCAGTTTTGCTCACGCATGAAAGTATATTATTTGCCCCGGCACTTCTGGGGTCGATGCTGATTGGACGATATGCCGGATGTCACACTTGCTCGCCTCCTTCAAGATGTAACAAACCCCGCTGCTCTGCCAGCTGGACGGGAGGACTTGGAGAAACAGGTCCAACATTAAACTGTAAAGTTACTTATGAAAACACAGCCCGATGTTAAACCTAAAATCATGTCAGTCAACAGGAACAGACGCATGACACAGTCCAGATTTGCTGAACAAAACATTTCTCATTTCTGTGGTTTGATGCAAGGTCGAGATTGCATTCACTTACATTCACACTTTATTTTTGCAAGGGAATCCAACTGTTTCCGTTTTAAATGTTTGGGGCAGCAACACTGCATTACAGGCTACTCCTCTAGGGTTAACTAGGTCACGTGGAATAACAGCTTTAAAGCACCAAAAACATTGGGTTTTAATTTCTCTAATATCATGTAATATAGCATACTACACTATTTTTCTCCGGTCACAAAGATTGATTTTTTTTTCTTAAATAGACTTTCTTAAGTGTCATTTGAAAGTCTAGCTATGTGAAACATTTGCTTGTGAAAATAAGCCTACATAAAACATAGGTCATGTATCTCTCTGTATAAACTGTCGGTCAGTAGTTTTCTTTGATGAGTGACTAGATTTATATACCTCTCGAATTTCTCCAAATGCTTCTCATATTTATGTGTATTTCATTTGAAAGATGCCATTGTTATTACCACTGGAAATGTTTTATTAAAAATATACTTTAATGTCTACCTCTAATAACTACCTCTACTCAATATTTCTTCATAAACTTATCTTACCTCTAATAACACCTTCTACTTAACATTTCTTCTTAAACTTATAATATAGTACCCTAGCATCTCACCTTTATAATAACAACTCTTCCATCCACTGAATGCTGCGACTTTTAGATTTTTATCAAACACACTTTCCACTCTAACATCAACTTGATTTCCAGTCACTGCGTCACTCCTGAAATATTTTTTTCTCTAGACTGGGCTAGATGTCTTTGCTGAACAACTAGGTCAGATATGAATTTACAAAATGCTTAAGTCCTTTGCTCTTTAGCCCTTGCTGTTGGCTGATGAGAGGAAACTACTGACTGTAGCTTTAATCATAAAGCCTAGGTGGTTGATGAACTGCAGTTTCCAGGCTACAGTCTGTTGCTTGGTTAGGACAGATCTGGTCATATGGAGTGAAAACTCCCAGAGCAACGCCATTATATAATACAGCATGTCCAATTGTTTTCTCTGTTATACAGCACAGACAGAGCATCACAACCGTGCTCCAAATGAACTAAATATGTCCTCTACATGCCTGCCAAACAAAAGTGACCTAATTCTCTGTGGATGTTTCATAATAAAACTTTACCGGTGACAAAAACATGTCACAATTAATAAGTGATCTTGCTCTTTTCACAAGTCACAGGCCAAATTGATAACATCAGTAATAACTTCATTCTATTTTAGGGAACTGGAATTGTGCATGATGACTCACCAGTCACTAGACATTTAAATGGGACTGAGCCATCTCTAACGTTACTAGTACTATAGTTCCACCTGGGCCTTTTCTGTCTTGACAATTTAAAATCTCAAAAGAGAAAAAAATAGTACTGTCAGGACCGTTTGGCCTTTAAAACAGCGCATTGATGGGTTTGAACTGTGTTTTTGGAGAACTGACTTTCAGTTTTTATGAGAAATGACTTTTACCTACTTATTTTAGTGTTTTGCTGCAATATGCACTGAAATCACTGTAAGCTGTAGTTGCATTTGTGTGTAACCATTAACCATTTTCAACAAAGTTCTGTTCCTCACGAGAGAAAGAAAAGCCTACATCTGCAGCCCTAAATACTTAGAATTTTAGATCAGCTGTGGCGGAGTTCTGGTCCAGTCTACAAAACACATTGTTCTCCTAATTTGTCCTGTACGTTTGTGACCCACATTAAGGTTCTGACCTGCCAGTTAGGCGCCGACCTACATTCACCCATATTCTTGATCACGAATCACTGACAGAAAACCTCAAACGTCTGTCTCATACTGTACACATTATAAATATTACAAATAGTAAATATTAATCCTCTTATTACAGTTAACTGTAAATTGACGTCGTATGCAATTTTATAAAGATTGATTGCTGAATTTTATTTCACTTCAGATCCTAATTGAAAATATGTCTCTTTTATAAAAAAAATGATGTTAGCAAACCTTTAGTAAATTCAGAATCATTATAACATAGCTTCAGCTGCTGCTGTCTACGTAAAAACTTTAACGATGGCTCTGTTCTGGTCAGGTCTCCCAGTGAGCTGTGACAGTGTGACAAAGAACCAGCATGAACCAGGACGCTGAAACTGAGAGAAGCTGCAGGTCTTCACATTTGAGGATGGAACCTGAGAAAGTTTGGCATTTTTTTTCTTGATAAATTACTTCAATGATTGACTGAATCTATTAACTATTGCCGATTATTTTTTGACAGTCACTTCAGCTTGAGTAGGTTCACATACAAATTCCCTTTAGAATAGTCTCACTGATTAATCTGTCATCATTGACATTTTAAGAAGGTGCACCACACACATTTTCAAAACCTCATTTTCAGCACCTGAAGACTGCCCGACACCACGGTGAAAATCACACCAAGACAAAACGCTTTGAAAAAAATACCAAACAGGTTCATTTGGTCTTTTAATTGTTGTACAAAATAACATTTTAAACTAATTTAAAGCACTACAACATCACCATCTTAATAGGCAACACAAATCACCAGTCTTATACTGATATGTCCAAATACTGCCCTCCATGTACTGGAGTGCTGTTTCGCCACAGAAAAACTACTGGGCATGAGGATCTTCAGAGGATTACATTGTGTCACAGCGTGTCCCTCATTGAGACTCTTCTATTTGAACTGATTATCAATAAGGGTGCCCTTCATCTTCGCCTTCTTGGCCTCCAGCTCGGCCAGCTCTTGCAGCCTCCTCTTGCTCATGCCCTTCCTCTCCAGCTGCTTCTCGATCACTTTGGCGTTTTGGGCGTACGAGTCCGCCACCTCCCGGGCCTCGATCTCCTCCTCCTCCTCGTCGATGGTGGAGACTGTGACAGAGCTGAACTTGCCCATGTCTTTGGTCCGCTTGGTCATCATCACGCGGACTTTCTTGGGAGCCTCCGGCTGCTTCTGGCTGTAGACGCTGGTGTTGCCGAAACCCTGCCCGAACTTGACCACCGCTCCGTCCACGATGAAGGTGGCCGGATTGTTCTTCTCCTGGTGCTGGTAGAAGAGCAGCAAGCCGCACTTGCCGCACTTCTTGCGGTACTGTCTCTCGATGCCCTCGGCTCTCTTGATGTACGCGTTTTCGTCCACCTCTACGTTGCAGAACTTGTGGGCATGTTTGGCCCCGTCGATCACCCTGGCTCGGTCCCTGGGCCTCATGGGCAGCTTCTCCAGCTGGCAGTCCAACACCAAAACCATCTGACCGCACAGGCAGTAGTAGACATGAAGAGGCTTTTCTCCGTCGTCATACTCCTCTCTGTCTCTGGTGTCCGAGCACACGACACTTCTAGACACGACCTTCGGCATGTTGAGCCACTTAAATGTCTTATAAAACAGGACCGTCTAGTGCAATGCTATTGTTGAAACGCCATGGCGACAAAAGCACTGGGCGGAATTCTTCCTGAACACAGAAACAACGCAACACTTCCGGTGTACGTCACTGTTCCTACCAGAAACAAGTGCTCCCTTTTTGTTCCGCATGGTTAGAAAGTTCCGCGGAGGCCAAGTTCAAAATAAAGCCAGGGAGTTTATTTATTATACAGCACAAGGTTGTATAACGAAAAGAAAGTTTGTAGTCCTTTATGCTACACAAGCTAACAGATAATTAAAGTTATATTAAAATATGGTGACAATACAATATAATGTATAAAATACAATAGAACAATAAATAGGCTCCAGGTATTTATTTAGTCTACATAGGCCTATACACTCCACAGACCATTCCATAGAGCATTTTATGAATTTGCGTCTGGGGTGAATGTCAACAGCATGATAATGTGGCTGTGTTTTCATCTTCACATAAAAAGTTTGACTTTTGTGTGCGTCTGTTGTGAATGTGTTTGAGCACCAAGCATCATTGATGTAAAAGACAGAGTCAGCCTCCTTTCATCTCGCCGTAGAAGTTGGTGGTGATAGCGCAATGGACAAAACACATGCCTTTGGTGTCAGAGACCCGGGTTCAATTGTGCTTTGGATAAAACTGTCACCTAAATTGAATAAATGTAATGTCACTCGTGATCAATAGATCAAATTCCATAAGGGGCCCTAATTCGTGTATGATGGCCCAAGATAAATGAGGTGTCACATGTTAAAATATTCCATAGCTTATATTTTTGGACAAGCAGTTTAACCGGAAGTAGGCCCAGCCGACAAACCAAAACTTGCTACCACCGACACATTTCTGCTCTAACAAATGACCCTTTGTTTTGAAATTTGGGTTGATGGAGGAAAAATACCAGCTTTCGTCTTACCACAATATGCCTACTGAAGCGCATAGGGCCTATTCTCAGTTCAACTGAGGGTTCTTTAACATGCTTGAGTTTGCCCTTCAGTTGTCCCCTTACTGAAATCAGGAGCCAACACTGCAACATAATACATGGACTTGGGTTTCAGCTTTGTAAGCCTACTGCCCCCCTTTCAGATCAGTGGTTTAAAACTTTCCACATCAAGGACCCCTAAACTCACAAATTAGACCACAGACCCCCCATTATGATGGCTTTTATGTTTTTTATTAAATATAAACCTTTGACCTAGTAGTTATTTTACTTACAGATGGAATAACCAAAATTGTACTTCCTGGTGGTCACCCCAAGAACCGTCAAGGACCTCTGGGGGTCTCTAGACTCCACTTTGAGAGCCATTGTGTTAGACTTTACACTGCACAGCCAGTTTTATGCTGAGGCTTGAAACCCTTACACGTAAGACCACTTTAAGCCAAAGCACATCCACGTTAAGGAGAGCAATTTACTGCAACGCTGAGACGAGTACAAAATACATTTTATGTAGACATTTGCAGTTAGTCATTAGTTGTTCACACAGGCGCCATCACAAGGGCAGTAGAGCGCTGATGTTGCAGGCTCTTCACTGACAGCAGCTGGTGTCGCACGTCTTCCCTTTGCACACGCAGCCGGAGGCGCACTTGCTGCAGCCTGATGGGCAGCATGAGCAGCAGCCTGCAACAAGAGAAAGAGTTCGTTAGTGACAGGCCAGCGGTCAAGTAAGCTGCCTGAGAAAAGAAAGAGTGCTGATCTCACAGCTGATGCCAGCCCAAGTACCCGAACATGGACAGTAAGACACCAAGTCAAATCATCCATTGGGCACAGATTGGTCAACTTGGTGCCGTGAACCAGAATTTAGCCTATACCTTTACGCTGCAGCTAATTAAGCCAATTAACAGCCTCTTGGGCAGCTGGTTGGAGGCAGATAGGCTGCACACTACAGCGTCAACATAAATGACTGAATTTTTACTCTGCCTCATGAGTATTCTACTGTTACAGTGCTAATGAAATATAAAATGCTATCGAGGGTGAAGGGGGAAATGTAGCTTAAGCAATTCAGATATATTGCATCCAGTAGTCCCTCTGACTGGGTCAAGATTAAATAACACAATACGTCATGTTATCGGTGTAAAGATGTCAGACTTACTCTTCTTGCAGGTGGTGCAGGAGCAGTTTGTGCAAGCGCAGGATGCTCCACACTTGCAGGTTCCACCTGGAAGACGACAAATTAAGCCAGATCAGCTTCACATTGTCCAAAAATGACAAATAGTCTGGTCTCCAACCATGAGAAATGTTGAGACAAGACATAACAGTTAACACTTACTCTTGGAGCAGTCGCAGGGATCCATTGTTCGATTGATGTCTTCTTCGTGTGCTGGTGGAGTATGTTCAGTGTCAAACGACTCACTGTTGTGACTGTCAGTGAAGGGGCGGCTCTTTTATAGCGTCCTGGAAACAACAGGACCGGGTGCAAAATGCGCCTGCCACTGCACGCTGGCACGTAGCAGATTACAAAGAAGTGTGTGCACACGACTTCTTGGTTAACCACCGAGGAGCGGGAGAAGTGAGATTCCCAGGCAAGGACGAGTTGGCTTGTTGTCTGAAAATTACGTAAGACCCCGGACCCCATTATTCCCCCTAGAGACACTAAACCCCGGAATAATTACCGTGTTTACAAGGAGAAAAACATCTTTGACTATGTAGCCTATGGTGGTATAAAGAGAACAGGTTACTAAGGTTCATCTACAGATTGTCTCATTTTCTGTATTTTTCACCTGTTTCACCCAGTAGGATATTATGATGTCCTTTCTATACGCTACGTGTGGCCAGCAGTGACTTTAAAGATCCCAGGGATTATATGGGAGTCAATTATTTATTTCAATGTGGAAATCTCTGAGTAGACATTTCGGTTCACAAAGACCAATAAATCGTGCTCAGTTTGCGCACGGATTTACAAAACGAAAGGATGTGGAGGAGCACTTATAGTGAAGATGCTACAAAGTGGACTTCCGACATGTGGCCCCTCAAAATAAAAAGGTAGCCAATAGTAGGCTATAGTGTTATCAGGTAATCATCATTTACTCACTTAATTAAAGCTCAGACAAATGTTTTAAAGAAAACCAATAATTGCCTAAGCCTACTATTAAATGCATCATCTATGACTATTCTGCATAGGAGAATTGACAATCAGCCAGTAAAATAGTGTTTAAATTAGAAACTATATAGCCGAGCTTATATTCAAACTGTAAAGTCTATATGCTATAGCCTAGCCTATTTATATACCCTCTATAGGCCTATAAATATCTATAGGCTATATATTTTCTCGATGAACAATTGAAGATAAACATTGTAAACGTGTAGGATCAGCTGAAGGACCTTTTTATTTTTCCATGAGATTTAAACAGTCATTCTTCTGTAATGTTTCTCGGTGTTTTCGGGTTTGTGCACACGGTACAAACAAACTGCTGTCTGTTGACGTTTGTCCGCTCCCTCCCGCAGCTCTGCACCCGACCGCTTCACACAGCGCTCGTGAGCAAACCAAAGCAAACAGCCCATTGTAGCCTGTTGTGCTGCTTTTACGTACCGTATGCGGTAGGAAATATCTAATTCAAGGGTCGAGTACACGTGACATCTGAGGAGTTTTTTCTGTTGGATATTTCAGAGGTCATACAAAATTATTTTATTTAAATCAGAATTCCATCAAAATCTGTGTTTAGCATTATTACAATTTTATGATGAATCAGACCGGGCTGGTCTGTGACCACGAATAGCCTAAGTGGAATATTAGGATAGCCTACTCCCTGCTGTTTTTAATACTGTGGAGATAGTTAGCATACTCCAGCAATTAACACTAGTGTAGATACTCTTATGTGAATTACTGTATCTTTATATTATGTTCGCTTGTTACCTTTAGCTGGCACATGTTTGTACAGGTGGGTGTCGATTTACATTCACTGCCCTCGGATGTAGAAGCTTGTGGTGGGAGCCTGAAGGCAACATTGTTTCTTTTTTGCGCTCGCCACCATCCAGCAGTGTTTTTCCACGTTAAGTGATTGCTGCATGTCGGCACCGTAATGATCTGAATCATTACATGATGTGACCAGTGCAAATCACTATGTGTAACCATAGTGTAACGAGTGAAATAAAAGATTTAGAGCAGAGTGCAACCTTTTCTTTTAGAAAGAACTAGAATATCAATGAATATAAAATAAAATAAACATAACATTAATTAATTATTAAAGTCCACATCGGGTAACATGAAATGTGGTTCTTGAGAGAAATATAGCCTACAAGAAATAATTTATTTATATATGGTTGCCTGTATTGTTAATGTTAATTGCCTTGTCATAGGTCACATCAGCCAAAGCATAGTGCAGACAAATGTTTGTTGTGTAGAAAAGTGGTGTTCAAATCCTGAGAGCTTTATTTTAAATGTAAAAGAAGATCCCAAATTCTCCTAAGATACCAAATAACACAGAAGTTTATAAGTGACTCACCACGTATGTTTTTCGACTCTATTACAACCATAAAAATTTAACTTTTGGATTTTAATATTTCATTCAAAGTGAAGTTGATCAGTGCACTCAACTGATACTATGGTGAAACATCTAACTTTGAGGATGACTAAGGGGGAAAATATGCTTATTTTCCCCCTTAGTCATCCTCAAAGTTAGATGTTGAAACTTCAGGGTCCATGAGTTGAAAACAATTTTAGGAACATAAGAATGGATGTGACAGTTTACAATAAATAATAATATTATTATAATATAATCATTGTTTACAATAGTCTGGACCTTCCTGTGTTTAGCCTGAACTCTGTTTCTGTCATGAACAGACACAATTACAGACACATCTGTAGTGATTATGAATTATTCAAACAGGATGTTGGGGAGTACAGGTGGTTGGTGAAGTATTGTAAGTGTAATAAATGCAAAAACACTTCAGAACATAATTAAGCTCAGTTAACCTGTTAAGACTGAGTTTGGGTTCTTGGGTTCTTAGAAACATAAATACAAAGGTATTCATCTGTCGTTCATCCGTTGTTTGATCCCATGTCGCTGGTTGTGTTTTTGATTTGGTAGTAACTCAAAATACTGTATTTTCCTGGGACATTTGGGGGATGACAGAGAGGTGCTGTTTGTGTCTGAGACCACTAGAGGGAGACATCTACACATTTAGAGAGAGAGAGGTTTTCGTTGTAGAATGGCTCAAATAGATAAGCCATGTCACCTGCTGACCAGGGAGAATTTGATCCTTAAGCCCAGCATGGGACAGTGTCAGACATGAGTTTAAAAAGAGCGGACATCCTTTGCTCTTTAGCCCTTGCTGTTAGCTGATGAGAGGAAACTACTGAATGTAGCTTTACTCACAAAGCCTAGGTGGTTGAACTGCAGTTTCCAGGCTACAGTCTGTTGCTTGGTTAGGACAGATCTGGTCATATGGAGTGAAAACTCACAGAGCAACGCCATTATATAATACAGCATGTACAACTGTTTTCTCTGTTATACCAGGTTATACAACACAGATGGAGCATCACAGTCGTGTGTGTATGTTTACTACAACACACAGAGACCTTTAACCTAAACTGACTGGATCTCTGGGCCTGTGTTTGTCAGTCAACCTTGTAATGAGCGTACTCTTGTGCCTTTGGATAGCTCTCCAGATAAATAGAAAACAGCAATTGTTAGAATATACTTGCTCCAAATGAACTAAATATGTCCTCTACATGCCTGCCAAACAAAAGTGACCTAATTCTCTGTGGATGTTTCATAATAAAACTTTACCGGTGACAAAAACATGTCACAACTAATAAGTGATCTTGCTCTTTTCACAAGTCACAGGCCAAATTGATAACATCAGTAATAACTTCATTCTATTTTAGGGAACTGGAATTGTGCATGATGACTCACCAGTCACTAGACATTTAAATGGGACTGAGCCATCTCTAACGTTACTAGTACTATAGTTCCACCTGGGCCTTTTCTGTCTTGACAATTTAAAATCTCAAAAGAGAAAAAAATAGTACTGTCAGGACCGTTTGGCCTTTAAAACAGCGCATTGATGGGTTTGAACTGTGTTTTTGGAGAACTGACTTTCAGTTTTTATGAGAAATGACTTTTACCTACTTATTTTAGTGTTTTGCTGCAATATGCACTGAAATCACTGTAAGCTGTAGTTGCATTTGTGTGTAACCATTAACCATTTTCAACAAAGTTCTGTTCCTCACCGAGAGAAAGAAAAGCCTACATCTGCAGCCCTAAATACTTAGAATTTTAGATCAGCTGTGGCGGAGTTCTGGTCCAGTCTACAAAACGCATTATTCTCCTAATTTGTCCTGTACGTTTGTGACCCACATTACGGTTCTGACCTGCCAGTTAGGCACCGACCTACATTCACCCATATTCTTGATCACGAATCACTGACAGAAAACCTCAAACGTCTGTCTCATACTGTACACATTATAAATATTACAAATAGTAAATATTAATCCTCTTAGTACAGTTAACTGTAAATTGACGTCGTATGCAATTTTATAAAGATTGATTTCTGAATTTTATTTCACTTCAGATCCTAATTGAAAATATGTCTCTTTTATAAAAAAAATGATGTTAGCAAACCTTTAGTAAATTCAGAATCATTATAACATAGCTTCAGCTGCTGCTGTCTACGTAAAAACTTTAACGATGGCTCTGTTCTGGTCAGGTCTCCCAGTGAGCTGTGACAGTGTGACAAAGAACCAGCATGAACCAGGACGCTGAAACTGAGAGAAGCTGCAGGTCTTCACATTTGAGGATGGAAACTGAGAAAGTTTGGCATTTTTTTTCTTGATAAATTACTTCAATGATTGACTGAATCTATTAACTATTGCCAATTATTTTTTTAGACAGTCACTTCAGCTTGAGCAAGTTCACATACAAATTCCCTTTAGAATAGTCTCACTGATTAATCTGTCATCATTGACATTTTAAGAAGGGTGCACCAACACACATTTTCAAAACCTCATTTTCAGCACCTGAAGACGTTTGCAGGACTTGCAGGACACCACGGTGAATATCACACCGAGACAAAACGCTTTGAACAGGGTACCCGCGGGGTCTTAAAAGTATTAAAAATGTCTTACATTTCATATTCTAAAAATAAGTACATTTAATTTACAAAGCATCAAATTTAATTTACAAAGGTCTTTTTTCTTGTCCTTTCGTAGGATTAAATAAATGCCAAAACGTCATAAATAAACACTTTTTGTGTGTGTGACTTTACAATTTACTGTTTGGTGTGAGGTGGATGTTATACGGCAGTACAGGTAATGTTACTGTTCACGTCAGTGTTTAGCTTTACTCTCTGGACTGGAGTGTTCGCGGTGCACAAGCTCCGGCATCCAAACTCTGCTCTCAGGGAGAGGAACAGAGAGCAGCGCTGCAACCTTTGGACAAATAAACACCTGTAGTCAGACTGGATTAT